ATAAAAACTGAAGCAGTAGACTTTGGAAATATTAACATTTGAATCATTCTCAAAACGTTTGGCCATGACTGTACATGGTACACTTTACAAATTCTAGCTAACTTTATTGATACCCAAAGGTACATTTGTTTTTGCCGTCTGGGAATCTCCAACATTTAGGAATAAAACACAGAAAAAAAATAGGAGACAAATAGGAGACAATTAAACCAGTTTCCAATTCAGTTATAAACTCATTTTATCAACTTTTAAAATCTGTTTCTGTTTCATGTTTGATCCACATTCAAACCCGTTTGGATTCACTTTTTAAATAAGGATTTGCTCCACTTTTAAACCAGTTTCTACTCTGCAAATAAAGCAATTTCTGAATCTCTTATAAATCAGTTTCTGTTGCTGTATAAAACCTGATCTAGAAAGACGGCTCTAACCTAGATTAGATCCATACTGCAGTATCCCTGCATGTCCCTGCATGTCCCTACATACCGTTAGCAGGAACTGCTGTATGTTGCAACACTGGAGGAAGCAGAGTTCACAGTCTAGTTTGCTCTTTAAGATCTAAAGGAGGATTTTTTCATCAGCTGAATAAAAGGTGGCTGTAAGGTCCAGAAGAATCAGGACTGAGCCCAGTGGGTCAGAACCAGTCCTGATAAGTTCTAACATCCTGAGGACGATCATTTTTATTTAAGGGTTACGTTATCTCTACGGTCCAACTCTTCTTTCCGGTTTCATGAAATGTTTTCCTGGTTTAACTGCTAAATATTTAAAGTTGTATCTTTAGAAAAGTTTGCCTGAAGACCTGCTTCTGGTTCTGGTCTGAAGTGGTTCTAATCATGTAGCTCCTGTGTCCTAATGTCCAGGAGGACGCGTCTGTCTCCATCCACGCTGTGCTAATCCTGGCTAGCAAAGGCTGGCTGCATGTGGACCAAGCTGCTCCTGTACAGGTAACCTCATCACCTGATCAGCCTCCGCTGCTGCTCACAGAGCCGGCTCACCTGTCTCTGTACGCCATGCAGGTGGAGGTGCTGAGCTCTCTGAAGTCTCTGCAGAGACACGTGGAGCTCCAGCAGCTTCCTGCAGAGTTTGGAGGATCGTTTGGCTTCAGTCAGAGCAGCTGGATCAGCTTCAGATCGGTTAGTAAACACACACCAACAGACTGAGAGCTCAGGGATCTGCAGGATGGTTCCTCTGATGGAATCCAGGGTGGTACTGGTTCCCTCTGAACTGGATCAGAACGTTTCCATCTCAGTCCTTCTGGCTCAGGGATCTGCAGGATGGTTCCTCTGATAGAATCCAGGGTGGTACTGGTTCCCTCTGAACTGGATCAGAACGTTTCCACNGATCTGCAGGATGGTTCCTCTGATAGAATCCAGGGTGGTACTGGTTCCCTCTGAACTGGATCAGAACGTTTCCACCTCAGTCCTTCTGGCTCAGGTATCTGCAGTGAAAACGAGGCTGAAGGAGTTGTCCTACCTTCACCTGATGGTCCCCTCTCACACAGAGGCCGACAGACTGACTGCAGTTTCGCTCCGATTTCCACGTCAGAGATCAGAGATCAGGGTGTGATCTTAGAAGCTGTGATCCTGCACGGCCTGCAGGATACCATCATCGTCCAACAAGCTTAGAAGAAGAATGGAAGGAAGACCAGGTCTCACGATCAGTTTTAATGGGCAGAAATCAAATGTGGAGTTCCTCTAGGACCATTACCTGAATAAAAATATATCATCCATTAAAGACTTAAGTTATAAATTAAACCTGTAGACACTTCTAGATTTGTTTTTAATCCTTCAGTGGAGCGTTTTAGTCTTTTTTAAGTATTAATGCCTCCTTTGGTTCACATGATCAGTGAAGTTGAGGGAAAACGATTCTTCATCAGATTTATTTTAATCCACAGAGCTGCTGTCAGAAAACCTTCTATTCTCCCTGAGAAACGTACTGAACGGAACAGTGACACCATGAGGCCACTTTCATAACTACACCTGATAACACCCCCCAGCAGTGGATGGTTTCTGCCTCCAGTCAGATTGAAACCATCACAATATGCAGCTTCTATAAAAGCAAACAGTTGTGCAGGTTTTATAGACTTTTAAATAAAGTTTTTTTGTCTCCTCCTCAGAGGGTCGAGCAGCTAACCCAACAGTGCACAAGCGTCATTAATCTGCTGCAGGAAACCATCAGCAATCTGCAGAGGACGCCGTTACCTGCTGCTGCTGAGGTAAGAAACCATCCAGCTGCTGCGTCTCTGCTGGTTTGCTCTGGGAACCATCAGCTTCTATAAACTGATCAGGTTGGAACTTCTGATTGGAGCTTTCACATCTTTATCTTCCATTATTGTTGCAAGCAAACAACACATTTTGTTAAATACAATTTGAAAAAAAAAACAATCCAGAAATGAAACGTCAACCAACATGTAATCAAAACACATTTTTTAATTATTCTTTTGTATTTTTGAATTAGTTTTTCCAATTTCTGTTTGTTAGATTCAGTTGAATCGGTATGAATTGAGAATCAGATTCTCAGTCATCCAGGTTATAATCAGTCCAGAAAAGTTCAAATCAATCCTCTGGACTTTGTTTC